TAAATGTCTAATGCGATTGCAATGATTCACATGGGGAGATAATTGAAGAGGGTGGGGTACTTTGTGACGAGACACACATGGACATATTCAAGTACACCATGAATGAGAATTCCTTTTTTTCCATCTCAGGCAAGTCACAACTTAGCCATACACTGCCATAAACCAGTGAAAGGCACATGTGAAATTATTGAATGCTGGAAATATTTAACGCGTAGGCTTTCGTGACCAATATCATCCATAGTACATTTTTGGGGGGTTAGATCGCGTAAATATGTAAGTAAATGTTAAACCCGCCACCACCCGTCACAGCCAATTAGTAAGGTGTGTGACTTAAACAGAACGTGCCAATGCGTTACTAGTACAGCACACCGGTGTGTTGGAGAGCCAAGAAACAACATTTACAATCAAGTACGACGTTCCGCCAGTAATTACAACCGGCATCATCAGGCGACAGCCAGATTTGTGGAGAAATCCTCCTGTTTCGTTCCTTAAATAGAGGCGTAGATGTGATGATGTCACTTGTGTGCTCTTCTTGCGCGAAGTTTGGGGGGCGGGATTATAGGTATCCACTGCTGGAAATGATTGCATTTTCATTTCACCGTTTGTCCCGAATTCTACATTCTCATGGCAGGGACCTCTCCATCAAACAGCTGCTCTTGACTTACTACAAGATGGGTGCAGCCTCTGCAGGTTGTGCTCATTTCACTGACCCCTGGAGGCGATTGATGATCATTTGCATGAATGACGCTATATACAATGATATTATTTTTTTATTAGACCTTGAATGGGATTTTTTTAAGTACAATACTAACATGACCGCATCATTACAACGCATGTCATGATTTGTTTTGTTGAGCAACAATGAATGTCTGTCCCGGTTAGCCAGGCCCAACAGAAAGCCTGTAGCTGCACCAGCTGTGTTGTTTTACTTCACTTGCAAGGGAGCCACTGAGTGGTGGAGTTACATTGCTTCGGTGCCAGTACATTTTGACGGAAAATTCCCTTCCCATTTCCCTCCTGTGCAATCGCAATGGTACCTCGGCATGCATTGCTTAGTGGTTTCATGATAACGGCCTTATCGATCAGCACTGCAAAAGCTGATTTTGAAAATTTGGTTGGAGGCTAAAGATCAGAGTGTTATTAAGGGAGATAGTGATCTTCAGTTGCTATTCTAGGCACACAATTCATATTTACATTAGCAGCTGCCCTTATATGTGTGCATACATACAGATGTGAACATACATGTATAGATATGTTTGTTTTGAATATGAAAAGCAAGTTATGTAAACTGTTGTGTTTATCGAAAATTAAAAACACTAAAATTTCTAGGTGATGGTATCTTATTAGGCATCAGCTTGCCTATGGATATACCCCACATTCTAAACAGTTATACATTATATTATTGGTTCTTTCGGTAAAGTCACGTGACTTTATCGAAAGAACCAAGAATATGAATCTCTACAGTCACGAAAGCTTCAAATCAAAAGTTAATACATTTGTAAAATTGTAAGTCACGTTAAAGCATCCTTCTGCTCTAAGGAGAACGAGACGGTGATTATCTCTCTTGGTGGTCCTGAACCAGTCATTCAAATTCCACATTTGCATGGCAGGGACTAGTCTCTCCATAGTACAACCAGTACAGTTTGACTCCCCACTAAGTAGTGCTCATTTTATTAATCTCAAGAGGGATGATTGGGCTCAGTTGCCCCCAACTAGGATTGTGAGTTTCTAATTGTGAGTGGAGAGATTTGATCACTGAAACTCAATTATAACTCCTCCCATTCACATCCATGTCGATTTATTACGTGTAACCTGTTTTGTATGTTTGTTCATTGGCTCATTTAATAGTCTGAATAATTGCGCGTGTGTTGACTGCCCTGTTTACGTCCCGGGTTTATTTTCCATTCGTCTATTGCAAGATATAGGTCACCTCTTTATGTAAGTAATCGAAATTCAGAGTGCATGCGCACACTCACACGTAAAAAAAGAGACCTCCGGTGTGTTTTTTTTGATGTGTTAGGTAACCCTGTCAAGGCCCCCCCCCCCGCCCCATTCATCCCAGCTGACTTTGTTTGGCATTGGCGTAGGCACAGAGTGCTGTGTCCTCGCGGCATTGCAGAATCTCGGGCATCCCGAACATCTGCAGAAGGACGGGACGGAGGGGCCCCCGAGTCGTTTGCGAGTGACGGCGTGATGATTTGGCACCACCGCTGGTCAGCAGGGGCAGACGCACGAATACAAAAAAACAAAAAAATCAGTCCCGGATTGGAGCCGAGGTGCGTCACGTCCTTAAGTGCGCTTACGCACAACGATCGCTTTTACTCGGTCCCTCCTGTGGAGAGTGGCACGACCGGGCAAATTCGAGCTTCGCCAAAACTTGCGAATCGTCTGCCAGCTGAGCGCGCTTCTTCATCCCGTGTTGTTCCGATACATTTAAAATAGCTTCCGACGGTGCCTTTCCAGTTCTGTCTTGATCTTTCTGTTTTCATTGCTCTCCGAAATCTCAGTGCATTCCTCATTTTTGCAATCCGGTTCCTGTCGGTACGAAGGAGATGCCCGACCATCTTTGCCGTCTTTTCCTGATATTTCCCAATACACACAACTTGATGAACTCTGAGACAATGGGTTGGGTGGGTGGGTGGGGGTGGATTTGGGGTTGAGGAAGTCAAAGGTGGTATACAGGAGGTCATGCGTTCGATCCCACCCCTGAAGCCTATATATATTTGGAGTTTGTATGTCTCTCTCTCTCAACCCGTGGTCACGTGGATTTTTATCCCCGGTCCTCTGGGTTTTCCCATCCACATTTAGAATCGACATCATGCGTTTAAATTATTTGACTGCTATTGATCTCCACGTGATGATAAGCCACTTTGTTGAGCTATAATTTGTGACCAGGTCGTTTCTGAAAGAAAAAAAAACTATATAGCTCAGTGGGCCTTAGCTGGTAATATAAAAAAAAGTTTATATTTTTTTTAGTCTTAGCTTATACCTTGTGTAAACCATAAATGCCTGCCTGTCTTGGGCAGGTTACTGAGATGGGTAGTGCAGTGGCAGCCAGAAATTGGCGACCAAAGAGAAGGCCTGAAGTGTGATGGCGGTAAACTGAGAGCACGAATGAGAGTGGTCACGTGTTGGTGGGGTGGTTGCAGCCGCAGCCGCGGGAGGAATTCCTGGCGAGTTGTGGAGGCATCGGCGGCACAACCCACGGCTCCACCTCGACTTGAGAACCGTAAAGACCGAGTCCGGTGGTGCTCCGGTTCTTCTTCTTCTCCTTCTTTCATACGGCTGACAGATGCAGAGATACAACTACAATTTCACTTTCAGGCTGTCAAGCCGGAGTGGAAGGTGGCAGCCTTCACGCGGCCCAACCTCTGTTAAGTGAGAAATCACGGCGAATGCCTGAGATGAGGGCACGCTGCGGTGTACCCTCATCTCACTTCTTTGTCCTGCCATGGGAGCGCTAAAGGCTCATTTTATAGTGCAAATGTGATTCAAATTTGCATCTATTTATTTATTCCCTGTAATACATAGATAAGTAAGTAATCGCTTTACGCGGGACGAGGAATTGCTTGCACCACTTTTGGGGAAATCGACAGAGGTCCTTTGGAATAGACTGGACCCTGCCATATAAATGTGGAATTTTAACCACCGGTTCAAGACGGCTAATGCAGATGCCACTGCACTATGCGCTTCTGAGCAGCAGGTTGTAGCGTTGATTGTACGGTTTTTCAGCGAAAATGTGTTCAAAGTTGCCGTAATCTGTTTTTAGTGGCCGCACTGAGAAGCACTGTAGCTCCAAGGGTCTTGTACAGATCACAGGAACTCAATGACGGAAAGGTATTTTCCACATCAAAGAGGAACATGGCGTGTCTTCAAAGTAACCCCCGTTGTAAAGTCACCCTATAGATGCGATGCTAGGATAAATACATCCTTTTCCACTGCTCACACAAGGGGCCACACGTGTTGAAGAAAAACACACGCATTTGCTAGCTGTGTTAATATCCATGAAGCATTTATTTGAGACAATTTGCAGAGCTTTTGGAAATTGTACATTAATGTGTGCATAATTATGGCTTTTAAACATGCGTGCCGACAACTTTAAAAGTAAATTCCCATGCATTTCTATGCGGCATTTGAGGACGCAAAGTAATGAATTTGTTTTTTAAAGTAATGCATGTTTGAGATCTGAGATAGTAAAACTCTTATACATTTGTCGCTTGGAAATCGAACACAAACGATAATGCGGTGACCCATGGGAATGAGAAAAGCCACTGTACTGAACCCAGCCCACCCGAGTTTGATTTCTGCCCATGGCCAGGATTAGTGACGAGTTAACTGGGTACTGCCTCCTGCTCCCCACCCAGCCCCCAATGCCCCTTCACTATTTCGCATTGCATCGTGGAGTATGGTAGAACAAAGCCCATGACCAACAGTGTGGGGAGGCCTTCATCTAGTGGTGGATTGTCTAAGTGTTACTTATTGGTATAAGGTGCGTGTCTTTGTGCGTCGTGCGCATCCTTGCCGATGCTGCGCACCCACGTGCACACGGGGTCAGTACGCAAACACAAATGTCGCCAGGAAGTACGTGTGTGACCCTCGGAGTTGTAATTGAATATAAGAAAAAAAAATAAGTAAAGCCATTCAGTGTCAGCATTTCTAAATATTTTATTGCAACGTCATAAATATTTGATCTGGCGGAAAAGCAAACAACAGCACTCACACCCCGTGTGATTGTTTAGAGACGAGCGCTTTGTCCCATGCGACTTGCTTAAAACGTAACGGTGCTGCCCTGCGATTGCTTGCTTGCGCCATTGCTGGCGGTAATGACCTTCACTTTATTTATTTGGCCATCAAAAAAGCCGGCTGCTGCGAGGACGACCGGAGTCCTGCGTTAGTGTTGTGCGCTCACGTGTCTTGCCCGTACTGATGAGTCTCGCGTAACCACGGTAACCACGGTAACCACGGTAACCACGGTAACCACGGCTCTGTTTCCCGTGCAGCTGCTCCAGGACTGCCCGAAGGCTCGGAGGGAGGTGGACCTGCACTGGCGCGCGTCCACCTGCCCGCACGTCGTGCGCATCGTGGACGTGTATGAAAACCTGCACCAGGGGAAGCGCTGCCTGCTCATAGTCATGGAGATGTGAGTTCTACTCACTCACCCGCTCGCCCAACCACTGACCCAGCCACTCGCACACTTACCTACTCACTCAATCACGTGACCACTCGCTCACTCACTTACTCGCACAATCAACTACGAGCCCACCGAACCACTCGCATGACCACTCACTCGTCCTCTTGACTGCTCGCTCGCCATGGATGGAGATTTTAAAAGGGGAATTGCCGTTAAAAGAAGCATGATTGTCATGTATTAATCATCTCGCGTTGAATGTTAAGAATCTCATGCAATTCCTAAAGGGATTTCCCATTTCTAATTAAGACCTAGGCTTATTACCAGACGATCACCACCATTATTATCATCACCATCATCATCCACTTCGATTTAAACGCTCCCGTTCACTTATCCGTGTACCCCAAAACCCAAAACTTGACATAACTGTGATTACACAATGTGACAATGCGTCAATAGCTATTTGAGGGATAACAGAAATGAAACCATGCAGTGGCACATTATTTACAACTCCGCAAACTGCAGCAATAACACACTCGCCCACCGCATCAAAGTCGGGCTTCGGGGCGTCTCTCGATGCCTTTTCAACTTTCACGCAAACCACAACCGGCGGGGATGCATTGAGAGCTTCTCGGGCGATCGTGTTATTACGCTCGTGGACCGGCATGAAAACTCAATATTGCGGCCGCAAGCACGTGTCATTTTACGGGGCCCAGTCTTTACAGTGGATCGTGTCGGCGGAAGGCAACGGAAGACGTCTTTGTGTCGCAACGCTTTCCTCTCGTGGGGTGTGGAGGGCAATTCCGCACAACGTGTTCCTTTGCGTTTGTGTTGCCGCTTTGTTTTGACATGCAGTGGGGTTGGGGGTTTGGGCATGGTCGAAATGGGCAATTTGACACGTGACGTTGAACTACTGTTGTTATAATGTCCCCAGACTCCTCTTAACAGCGTGTGCTCTGATATGGTACATAGCTGAAATAAGTGAGAGGACGGTACTACGTGTGTGGACGACATTTACTCTTGAAGGTGCCCGGTAGAAGCTGTGAAGAATTACTAGGGCGGCCGTGATATACCCTTTCACAATGTGATATAAAATTTCGCGATACGACGATTATCGCGAAATCAGTTTCACATAAATCTGTAGATGCGTTTGACGTTTTTATTGTCTTGTTTTGGTGCTTTGAAGCACTTCGAGCACGACCAAAATGACGAATCGATCTGGGCACAACAGAAGTGTACAATGCCCATAGAAGAAGATGCTTGGGGGCGCCACGATGACGAGATGTTAACTCCCTCGCCTGGTGTTCAGGAGGTCGTGGGTTCTATCCCGACCCTGACACCTGCTGCTGTATATTTCGAGTTTGCGAGTTCTAGCCGTGGTCACGTGGATTTTTCTCTCCAGATCCTCCGGTTTTTCCCTCCACATTTATAATCAACGTGCTATAAATTTACGCATAAGCCGCTTCGTTAAGCTATCAATTGTGGCCAGGTCGCTTATGAAAAAGAGCTAGAGTATATACAGCTCAGTGGGCCTTACCTGGTAACATAAAAGTGTATGTAGTAGTTGAATAGCCTTGAGCTTTACCGTGAGTTGTGTGTTCCTGCCACCTTGTGGCTGGACAGCAGCACTATCATAATCTCAGTGAATGAAGTTCATTGAGTTCCATACACACATGGTCACATGAACATGACAGTGCACAGTAAACATGTTTGTACCATCAGCCAAGTGTTTCTCAAAGAACCCTTGCACAATGTCCCCACTCCGCATTGAAATGTGTGCATGCGCCGTCATCGCATACACGCTATATCTAGCGGATTGGTAAGTGATGTTAGGCAATGAATGTTCGTGACAAGTATTGGCACATGGTATTCATCTAATTCTGGCCCGGCGTGTCGATAGAGTTGTCACGGGAATGACGACGTGTCAATCAGAATATCTATTTATCCTGGAGGAATCCAATGAGCTATATAAAGCTTGTTTTTTTCCCCACATATGTTCAGTGCAAAATTATAGGAGAGGTAGGCAAATCGCTCAAATAACAATTCAATTAAATTTTACTATTTTACCAAGGCAAGCTCACTGATCTATTGGTTCTTTTTCAGAAGTGACCTGGCCACAAATGGTAGCTCAACTCAGTGGCTTAGCACGTGGACATTTATAGTACCAGCCAAATAATCAAAACGCACGTTTCTAAATGTGGAGGCAAACACCAGAGGACCCGGAGAAAAAAGAAATCCCAGCGACCATGAAGAGAACACACAAACTCCTAATATACAGCAGGTGTCGGGTTGGGATCGAACCCATGACCTCCTGTATACCAGGCGAGGGAGTTAACATCTCGCCACCGTGAAAACCTGTGGCGTTATGGCCGCTGCTACCAAGGCCACCGCCGACTGTGGTAGCTTTGTGCGTTGAGAATGACGTCGCCGTCAAACTTGCACTTGCTATTGATTTTTTTCTTTCCTTGTTTTTTAAAAATAGTTTTCTGGACATGTTTAAGTAGAGCATGTTTGAATATTTTTTTTGGCATTTCAACACGACACATGGGGGAAGGGTGTAAACGGTTTACCGCGCTCTTGCTCGCAGCAAATTTAATTGTCACAATTCAGGGTCGCATTTCATTTCAAGGATAATTTCTGGTTTGTTCCATCGCTCTATTGGCATATGTTACGTTCAGGTCTGAGCTTAGCTGTGTTCACTCCAGCGCTGTCCTCTAGACAGTCTGGTCCCTTCACCTGATGAAGGCCACTTGTGTTGTGGCCGAAACGTCGTGAATTTTTTTATTTTTTGTTGTTTTTTACGTGACTTTACCGAATAGAACCAAAGAGTATGGATCCTTGCAGTCATGAAAGCTTTAAATCTAGAATAGTTTACGTTTTGCAGGTGCATGTCACTTCACATAGTATGCCTAAAAAAAAATATTAAAGACGCAACTAAATGCCATGTATTACAAACATAACAAGTGATTTAAACAATGTATTACTATTATTCTTCTTGTTGTTATATTTGATCATGATTGTTCCCCATGCCCGCTGTGTGCAGAATGCTGGGTGGGGAGCTCTTTAGTCGGATTCAGGAGCGGGGAGACCAGGCATTCACCGAGCGAGGCGAGTGGCAGTGGGTGACAGGGAGTCTGACAAAGATGACACACATCCCCCGTGTAGCCTTAACAGACTAGGAGCAAGTGCTGTGAGCGAGCACCTATGAAAGCTGGGAACGGCACACGAGGGGGTGGGTGGTCAGCACCACGCCCGACCGCCTTTGTCTCCCCAGTGGCGATGTTTACTGCACACTGCACCAGGTACCCGTTTGAAGCCGAGTCGACCTAGGGGAGGCCCAAGATTGCTTCAGATAATTATCACTGGTGGTTGGAGGTGAGGGTTAGTTGATCATACACAGATTATAATTTGTTCGACACTGACCTTTGTAGGTATTGGATGCTTTACATAGGAGGCAGGACAGCAAGTGGGTTGATGATCTATATGTGTAGCGTTCTCATTTTTTCTTCACGAGTTTACTTTAGGTTTTCACCCAGAAGAAAAATATAAAAAAAATTCAAAGCAGGACACTCCTGAAAATTATCTTGAGACTCATTTAGGATTGTTGGTTAAACATATGTATTATCACGTATGTAATAATCTCAGACGGATAGGCGAGTGGTTATTCTGCTTATGTGCGTGGACTATTTAGTTAAGTATATGCGACCACTTTGTAATTTTGATGGTAAAAAGCATGAGCTGTCATTCAAATAAGCAGGCCACTGTGGGTCATGCCAATACTCCAAATGCCATGTTTTATAGCAACTCATAAAACAGATAAATTAAATATGTATTCAGTTGTCCAAATAAATAACTACTTATATTTGACCTAATTCTGCCTTGAAACTACGGATATGATTTTCAGTACGCTCTTTTCTTGGTTAGACATGACTATTTCGTGAACGCATCTGTTTGTTCCAGCTGTTCTACGTGAATTAAGTGTAACTTACATTGGTGTTTTTGTCCACAGAGGCCTCTGGGATCATGCGGGACATTGGCCAGGCTGTGCAATCGCTGCACGCAATGAATATCGCACATAGGGATGTCAAGGTGAGGGGTGTACGCTTTAAAATGTTACACATGACAGATCAGTGTCGCCAGCTTTTTACACTTCCTCGTGTACAGATGTGGCTATAGCTATGTATGTTAAACTTATTTAGCCACCGTGTGGAGCCAACCACGCTAATCGGAGGTGTGGGGGAAGAACAACAAACTAAACACTAAAAGCAGTTTTATAGAAAGGAGTTTTCAATCTAGATTTAAACGTGCTTAGCTCCGGTGGCTTCTGAATATGGGAAGAAAGAGCGTTCCAGACGGCCGCAGATACATATCTGAAAGCACGTGATCTGGTGACCATCTTTGATCAATGGCCAGCCAAAAGCCGTTGCGAATATGATTGGAGTTCGCACGTTAGTTTATTCTCCATGACGAGATCAGAAAGATATCGTGGTTCACTTGTGGCAAGCACTTTGCGTGTGATGAGTGCGACCTTCTAATGTATTCGTTCGTCAACCAGAAGCCAATGCAGCGAGCACTGGGCGGACATGGTCCAGTGCTCGCCGATATGCCACGTGTGACCTCAATGCAGTACATGCACCCAAGTCTTGTGTCTGTGAATAAATTACTCATTCTTATTGTGCTCCCACCGGGTTGAAATGAAGGCTTTTCAACCCACATATCAACTCCCTTTACCCGATGTACCTAAACACATCCACTTATTCAATCACATACCCACACGACTACCAGTCAAACACGCCTGCCTCCATGTGTCACCGGGCTCTGAATTCTAAGCGAAGAGTTTGCTTACCGAGTAACTCGGAGCCGGTGATCCTGGTGTGCACCTATCCACCCGCCCAACTACCCCACGTCGACACACTTCGACCTGCCCGCCTGCATCTCTTGCCCGGTGCTAAATTCTAAAGTTTGTTTATTTATATGACCCCTCCCCCCCGACCCCAGCCAGAGAACCTGCTTTACACGTCAAAGAAGCCCAATGCCTTGCTCAAGCTCACCGACTTTGGATTCGCAAAAGAGACCACCAGATGCAACTCATTGGCCACTCCATGTTACACACCGTACTACGTCGGTAAGGACGCTACCCACACACACACACACACGTGGCGACTATTATTGATGTTTTTTATTTTGTTTTGCCTTTTGGAGGGGGAAATGCTGCACGCGCGTGTCCGACGTAAAGTCCGCATGTCACACTCGTGCCGCTCTGATTCGCTGGGACGTCAAACACGGGGAAGCGGTGCGAAGGTTCCCCATTTTTAATGTCACGTGCATTCCCAGCAGCCGAGTGTTTTTATTTAGGCTCATGTGTGTCGCTTTGATGGTTTAATATACGGTTCCACTTCATAATCTTGATGTTAAACAACCTGTGCTAACTTTCAAATAAGCAGGCTACTGTGTGCTATGCTCTGACACCAAGTTACATCTCATGTTCTATGATAACCCAGTCTATTAAATCGTCTATAGGAATAACGACAGAATGCAGATCAAAGTCTGCCTTCAAGAGGCGACAATAATTTCCAATGGACGTTTGCCTGGTTAAATGAATGGCAATGGGACGGATGCAAAAGCAATATCATGGTGTAGATGTGGGGGGGGGGGGGGGGGTGGGTGGACCAGCTGGAGGTTTTTGAGTTAAACGTGGCAGGAGGGATTCAAAGAGGAGAACGACGCTGACACAGGTGGTGGGGTGGGGGGAGACGTTTTCAGGACTGAGGACAGGTTACAGACACCACCACTGGAGCGGCGGCTTAGTTAGTGGGTGACCCAGGGGAAGACCTAAATCCCGATGGTGGGATACTGAGAAGGGGCCTTGGAGATCAACATCTCCGTTGTTGAAATATTGCGGGATCAGGCATAAAGAAGCTATGGTGAGGTGTGAAAACATCAATGGCAATTATGATGTACGTATGTTGAACTTCTTTTCCATTGTAAGGAGCCAACCGTGCTATGTATATTAAGAGGAAGCTGCACTAATAGTAACACCACTTGAGGCGAGTTGAGGGTGTTCTTATTTCTGCTGCCTGTCCCAATCTCAGTATAAGCAGTCAACAGGTATTATTCATTGCGAATGCTCTCGCTGCAGCACGGCAAATGATGAGCAAGTGCTGCGCTTGTGTAACCATCGTCGATAACACACTAGAGGTGGACATTCTGATATGTAAAGCATATTCTGCATGAAGCACGATTTTCCACCACGTCGTCCGTCAGACTAACTTTGTACAACTCGTATTCCCATTCTGTAACGTGGGTAACAAAAACGCCGACTGTATTATTGCCAGAAGGGGTAAAAACCGAGTCAACATTTTGTAACTAAGTTTGATGCCACAGGGTGGCGGTGTTTCCCCACGCATGCTGGTGACACGCAGCAGTGCCCGAGTGCGAGGCACTTGGGAACGCGCGCACTGTTTTTTATTGGTGATGTTTTTGTTTTGCAGCGCCGGAGGTCTTGGGCTCTGTGAAATACGACAAGTCCTGCGACATGTGGTCACTGGGAGTCATCATGTACATCCTGTAAGTGATGTAATTCCTGGGCTCAGCGTCTCTCTCCCTTAACCGCAATGGCTACTTTGAGGGGGGGGGGAGTGGGGTCACTAATTAGGGTGTGAAAGAAGTTCAACCTACAGACATGCCTCGGGTGTCTGCTCTCTCCGCATTTGACTTGGGCGTCGCTGCCTTTGCCAGGTGTTGCGCCTAAATTGAATCACAGCATTAAATCTGAGCTCGCAGCATTCATCCTGAGCAATAGACGACCGCATTGTGGTGAACGTACACAAGGGGCTTGTCTGTCTAAGGTCTGTTTGTGTGCGCGTCGAGCGGTAGCGTAGCGGTTAGTGCGCTGCGCTACGAACCCCACAACCCGCGTTAAATTCCTGCTCACGGCCAACACCAGTGACAATTATCTGAACCGGTTCTGGTTCTCCCCTAGGTCTATTCAGTCTCAAATGTGTACCTGGTGCGGTGTGTAAACATCGCCACTCGGGAGACAAAGGCGGCGGAGCTTAGTGCTGGCTACTCGCTCCCTAATGTGCCGTACCGGCCTTCATTAGGTGCTCGCTAACAGCGCTTGCCCCAACAGTCTGTTAAGGCTATACGGGGGGAATCTTTGTTTTTGTGCATGTGTGTGTGCGCGTGCAGTTTGTGTGGCTTTCCTCCCTTCTACTCGAATCACGGGTTGGCCATTTCACCAGGGATGAAGAAACGCATCCGCATGGGCCAGTACGAGTTCCCTAACCCCGAGTGGGCTGACGTCTCCGAAGAAGGTAACGGAGCGGCCGTGGGGGCTTGGGTGTCTTCATCGGTCATGCACAGTGCACCGAGCATAACGGCATCCCCATGTAGGGCGGCTTTCCCCTACTTCTCACGATGATTTCATTGCTCCATCTCCTCGGTGCACGCCCTCCCTCGAATAATATTCTTGACCGTTATACTTTCTAGTGGACACGTCCTGCCCAAGCGATGCTTGATTTTATTTAAGTTTTTGTGTTGTACCACTGATGTCGTAACGGAAATTAACGATTGGTTCAGTTATTTTGGAAACCGAGCGATGGAAATTCTGTGCGTTTTATGCCCGACCCCAGCAAAGCAGCTGATCCGTCATCTTCTGAAGACGGACCCAACTGCGCGGATGACAATCACCGAATTCATGAATCATCCATGGATAAATGTAAGTCAAAAGCTAACGACCGGTCTATGCCTTACACTCAATGCCTTCACCACAAGTCTGATTTATAGCGCGTACCAAGTTTGCCAAGCGAGTAGCTAAAGCAGGCCCAGAGGAGCTGATGTAAGTACCCAAAATACACAGTCGCTTTTCAAAAGGCATGTGGAGCATTCTGATAATGTGCATGCCCACAGAGGGGGTGACAATATTGAATGGGAGTCGAGATTAATTGGCAAGGCCTCACTTGGTAAAAATAACTTTGCTATTTATAATATGCCATGAATTTTGGAGTTGCCCTGTAGAAATGCTGATGACAACTAATATTATTTCTTCGTCTATGCCACCATCCATGGGACTCCAATTGACATATTTAATCAGTGATTCCTGGCACTGTGTATGAATGTAGAACTTCTTTTGCACCCTACGTAGCTAACCGTGCCAATCGGAGATCACGAATGTGTGCAGAGGCTTCCTGGCGGTTCCTACGTGACCTATCCCACTCTCTACCCATGACCACCACAATTGTATCTCTGCACCGTGGACTGGTGCAGGATTGGCTATCGCCAACTTAATTTAAATTACGTTAATAGGGTCAATTTGGCGTACATTAGATAGCCAAATTTTTGTAAATCAAGTACGCTGGAAAATAATTCATTGACGCTTCCTTTCTCACTCCGATTGTGGATTTGTCTCCGGGTCGCTTTTGAAAAAAGAGCTCTATATAGCTCAAGTGGGCCTCACGTGGTAACATTTAAAATAGTTTATAGCCGGTGCGGCCGTAAGCTCTGGTGAGTAGTGACAGACGCCGGGGATCCTGCGTGACGCCACGCCAGATCCCCGGCAGCCTCTGCTTCCGAAAAAGGAAAAAAATAAAACACATTGGACGATTACTCTCCATCGGGGTTTTTCGTCTTTTCCAATGGGTTAGCATTCTGGACGTCCAATCTAGCGGGTGCCAGTTCTCGGTCTCGGCGTGGCAGTGTAAACAATAGGAAAGCTTCTTCAATCTCTCCGCCTCTGTCCGCCCGGCAGTATCAATGGGTCAAGCGCAGCTCGTCGATTGGCAGGTTGCGTGCGATGGGGGGGGTCAAGTGCGAATACTCCCACCTCTTCCAAGACGTCTGGCCAGCAAAGCAAGGAAGAGTAGTCCAAATACCATCCAGGGAGGGGCTACCGTAGCAGAGGCCCTTCTGCCAGCAGTGACGTGAGCAAGCAATTGGTGGGGCTGCTTCTTCACCTCCTTGTTTCTTATTGCAGCAATCCATGGAGGTGCCCCAGACACCTCTCCACACCAGCCGCGTCCTCATGGAGGACAAAGATCTGTGGGAAGAGGTGAAGGTAAGTGATGGGAAGTGATCAATGCGTATGTGACCTGGTAAAGAAAGCAATGACTGATTTTGATGGTGCTGTTATTTGTTCAGCAGCATCATCATCATCATCATAACGACCCATGGGCAGATAGCCCAGTAAGGTGACCACTGCAACATCTCGTCATTTGTTTCCACTATCCTCTGTCTCGTGCCAACATGCTTCAAGTAGTGCCACATCTTTCTGGCACCAGTCTCTTATGTCGTCATTGTCGAGTCATTCTCTGTTACTATTTCCTCTCCTTCCCGTTCCTTTCATTTTTCCAAACAACACACTTGGAATTTTCCTGTAGTTTTCCACCCTACATGTGTGTCTAAACAGTGCCAGTTTCCTTATACTCAGCATATTTTCCTTGAATTGCAATTGTCTTGGTTATGCGGCGTTAACCCATGCTCCCTTAAAGCACCCATTAACCAGCAAACTACATTGTCGCCTATATATTGTTTTCTCAAGTGTTTTTTTTTTACTTTGGAAACCTGTGGAAGGCACTGGGAGCCAGGTTTTGACCACTGTGGACATTCTGACATTGTCTGCGTCCTTTGATTTATCTTCTTGAGAGAGGGGACAAATATAAGCAGGCTTTCATACACCTGTAAAATGTGGTGATCCCGAAAATAATGTGCCTCTAACTGACCATTTACCTTGTGATGTAGCAACCACTCCTTCTGTAGAATAACATGGAGCTTGAAAACACTTGTTGTCATCTTCTTTGGTTCTTTCGGTAAAGTCACGTAGAATGAGAATAAAATAATAAATTGATAAAATAAAATAACACAATAATATTCTCACGACGTTTCGGCCACAACACAAGCGGCCTTCATCAGGTGAAGGGACGAGACTGTCTGGAGGACAGCGCTGGAGTGTTCTCATATCAGTGTGATTAAACAAGCACTTATAGCAGGTGCCCGCGGGACTTCCGCAGTGAAATGATGGCGAATATGCACACACACGCACGCACGTTTTTTTATCAGCACTTGCTCTCCTTCTCCTCGCCAACGTCCCGTGACATAACCCCTCCTCACAACATCACGCCAATCTTGCATAACGTGGGGGGTAACTCCCACTCCCTTCCCCAACAGCCCAGCGTCTCCCCTCCGCCTGCGCCCAATCGTCCCCTTCCCTCCATCTCACCGGCGTGGCACATGAGACCCCACCCGGCCAAAATGGCTTTTATTTTCCCGTGCCCCAGTGCCTTAGACGAATACGCGTATTATTATAGGGAAGATTAACCAGTAGCAAGAGCAACAGGATTGCGGATGTATATATAACCGAGCCAGCGCAAGATTAAAATTGTATTCTGATGGTGTGTTCTAGCATTTGATGAACACGCATTATGTTTGAAACTTGTAATTAAATCGGTTGTTTTAATTCACAATATGAAAGTGTACTTTTTATCTTGCAACCACTCTCTCTCTGCTATGAAGAGCCATTTCCTGAATTGTCACCAATTATATATTTTACTTTTAAGGCAGTGTTGTTGACGGACTTGTGAAGTTTTAATGTTTATCTACGACTAGGCCTTCTATACAAGCATTTGCACACGGAATTAATCAGAAGTGTCATCAGCAGGATAGACCCTTCTCAACCAATGTTATTGTAAAGTGCCCTTTCATATTTGCACTGATATGATTTATACTTACCCACAATCCACCAAGGTATGGCATTTTCTTAATATTGATAACACCCTTACCTTGGTCAGTCCACTGCTGGATGAAGGCCTCCCCCACACCATGGCAGACGTCAGTGCTTGGGTGCCCATACTCCTGGCCAGTGTGGGTTGGTGAAGTTCAGTGGTTTAAGTTGCTTGTTTACTGTGGCAGAGAGCACCACACTTAAACGGTCGGTCATCTGCACAGCTCTGGCGAATGCAGTCAAGTAAAATAAGTATGACAGACAATTGAATAATGCGGAGAAAAGGACTGTGTGGTAGAGTGTGGTAGTTTGGCGGGCCGCGCTACGAACCTGGCAATCCAGGTCCAATTCCTGCTCGGTCAACACCCGTGATGATCATATTAATCGGTCCTGAGTCTCCCCTAGGTTGACTCGGACTCAAATTAGTACCTGGTGCAGTGTGTAAACACCGCCGCTCGGGAGACAGATGCCCGGGCGTGGTGCTGGCCACCCACCCCATCATGTGCCTGTTGACCTTCACTAGGTGCTCGTGAATATCGCACTTGACCCGCAAGTTTAAGGCTGTGCTCGGTGGGTCTTTGTCTGTGTCCACGCAGGATGAAATGACAAGTGCCCTGGCGTCTCTGCGGGTCGACTACGAACAAGTGAGGATAAAGAACGTGGCCGAGTCGAGCAATCCCCTCCTCAACAAACGCCGCAAGAAACAGGAACAGCCAAAGAATGCCAACAAAAGCTGAACTCACTAGGGGAAGCAATGCCCCTGGCATGTCGCGGCCACCGCGTGGCACACTCACTCACACGTACGTGCCAAGTTCCGACCGTCAACATCGCGCTCTCGTGCGCAAGGCTTCTCCCCCCCCCCCCCCCCCCCCCCCCAAGATATTTCAGGTTCAAGAGTGCGAAACCGTACTGAAGTCTCGAACTTTTTTGAGAGGTTGCTAAAAACACCTCTCGGACTTGTGGAAAATGATTGGGATATTTCAAACTGACGGGAGAGCCTTAAAACGTCTTTCTTCGTGTTGCGAGACCCTCAGAAGTCTCACTCCTGTGTGAGGGGAGGTCTCTAAGGTGCACAAGAGCAGCACCGTTACAGAAATGTTTGCAACAGCGGTTACTGTTTTTGTATTCTGTCTGCACGAGTGGTATGGCTGGCAGGGATATTGACTCGAAGGAAAAGTTTAGGCTTGGTTGTTACTTTTTTTAGGCTTGCGCAAATATGTTGACGAGATCGGCTGTCAGAAAATGGCACACGATGGCACGTTCATACCAGTCTCAGAAGAAAAAAAAACCCAGGTGTTTTATCTTACGAGAGTTCCTTGCCTCTTCGTTGCGCCCTTCACAAGGGGAATTGTAGCCCAGTGTCTTGGCCCAGTGCTGGTCTTAATGTGGTGGCAATGGAAAATGTCGCAGCCTTACCAACAGTGAGCTAATCTGACAACTGCCTCCCTCAATCCGCAAGTGAAAAGTGAAGAGATGCCCAACTGCATCCCAGAAACCTATATACCTTAGTGGTGAAGACAGACCTTCAATCATGCCCACTTCCCCCGTGGATGCATGGTGGCCGTTTGGATCGTCATTCATGTTCTGTCGTGTAGGATGGCAAAATGCAGGCAAGCCTGTTCATGGCCACGTGTGTTTTAAAAGAGCGTTCAATTTCCTCCTGCATCTGAATGCAGTGCTAATTTGCAGGCACGGTCATGGACCGTGTCCCACAACGGCAACGCACCCCCCGTGGTGGCACTGCACATGATCATTTTACAGATGAGCAAAAAGAATCCCCTAATTATTGAGCACGTCTTTGGCACACAAGAGGGATCGTCCAGATTGCGCCAAAGTGCAAGCGAACGGGCAAATGAAAGTTTGCTTGCAAATCGTTGTGGGTCTTGTGTTTTTTTTGCCAATATAATGCTTACAAGGGAATGTGCCTGTTTTACATCCAGATGGTTGGCTACGTACGGTGCAAAAGAAGTTCACGCAAGTGTATGTGGCTTTAAGCATCACGTGTCCGAAAGGCTATATCTTTTGTTACACTAAAAAGTGAAAAAAATGAGGTTACATTGAATGGCTGTGAAATAACACCGACCATTATTTGTGTTTTGTATTCATTGGCATATGACCGCAGCAAGTTCAACTTTATCCACAGTAATTGTGTTTATCCATACCCATTGCCGAATAGATTAACGTAATTCGCTACATTGGGATACAATGTACATATTTTAATAAGCTGAGAATTAATTTTAGAAATGTTAAACCTATAAAGTGTTTTATGACTGCAAACTTAAAGTATGTCGTCTCTTGAATATAAGATTTAAACATTTCATGCTTGTGTAAAATTCTTGTTAATCGTGCACAAACATTACAATAGTGCAAACCATTTTCTTACTGCGAGAAATGTAGATAAACAATCGTAGAGTATAATATAGTTTAAAGTTACTGTATTTTGCGATATAGTTTTATTTCAAAGACAAACGCCCTACATAGTTTGCATTGTAGACTGCGAAGTATGAATGTAATGTTTCTCCAAACAGCTTGAAAAAACAGCAAGCCCAGTGTGAATCTGAAACTTTTTTTGCAGTTTTTTTTCATGGAGATATTTTAGCCATAATTCAGTCACTCTGGAGAGATGATTATGGGTTCGTTTGTTTTTTCCCCCCCCCAAAATAAAATTGGACCCATTCCAAACATTGCAATTCACGTGGGGTCGATTCCGCTCAAACGACACCCGTTCTGCAGAGTGCGAAGGGGGGGTTTATAGGGCAGGGTTGAGGAGGAGGCCCGCAATGGGTGGAAATGTCCTCCAAATAACGCGGAGGGCACTGCACGAACGCGCGGAATCGCGCTCTGGGGGGAGTGACCACGTGCAGACTTCTATGTGGACCGTCAACGCAAACATTCGTAGCCGCCTCAAACTGTGTCGAATGTGGCGGAATGGGGGGTCGGGCACACGCGTGAAGAAGATCAGTGCGGCGATGATGATCGGGATGACGTGGATGATGGTTCCGATGCATTAGAATCGGCCAAATTGAGTTCGATTCCTGGCCACGGCGAACATCAGTGGTGCCTATTCTGAGCCTCCCCGAGGATGACTCGGCCATGAAAAGCTTTAACCTGTTGTTACAGTGCGAACATGGGCGCTCATCTGTAATCCAGCTCATTGGATGCAACGGTTTGTGGATTGCTAAAGGATTCGGTGGTTGCTGTGGGTTTGTGGATTGGGAGTTTATCACAGTCGGTGGCCACAGTAGCATCATCATTGTCTGATTACTATATCAATACATTATAATCACATTATAGTTTTTTTTAAGTATTTCCAAATCCTTTGGGGCTTCGTGTTACACTTCTCCACCTCGGTGGTGGGCAGCGTGCACGTGGACCCAATTCCCCTTGGCACTCTCTCCTAATTGGCGGCAGCAGTTACAGGGGCCGCGGCAGCGAGATGTTGACTACCTCGCCTGGTTTACAGGTCGTGCGGCGTTCGATCGCGATCCTGACGCCTGTATATTTGGAGCTTGCATGTTCTCCCCGTGGTCGTGTGGATTGTTTCTCCGGGTCCTCTGGTTTTACTCTCCACATTTAGAATAAACATGCGTTTAGATTGTGGCTGTTATAGATTTCCACGTGATAAGCCACTTCGCTGAGCTACCATTGGTGGCCAGGCCGCTTCTGAAAAAGAGAGCTCTATAGCTCAGTGGGCCTTACCTGGTATAATAAAGAAGTTTAGTTTGTCGCCATTAATGTCTCATCCTTGGAACTTGGCTACTAATCAGCTGTGATCAGTGGCTGAGAGTGGTTAAAGCAATCGATTCACACTCAGAAGCACGCAAGTTCAAATCACTGGAAGGGATTGACTTAACTCATCTTTTGAGTTTGTAAAATGAATGCCACTTTAAGGAAGGGCAATGGTGGGCACCCTATGGACAGACTGTGCCCTGCCATGGAAATATCGAGATGAGTTCCACCCACACTCATGAGGCAAATCGCTTATTATGCAACGGTAGAAGCATAGAGAGATATGTTTTGGATGTGTTTTTCCTTGTATTGAGCAGAATATGCAGTTGGGAAGTTGAGATGTCGCTGTTCATAACTGGAGAGTCAGCAGTTTTATTTGCAATGCAGTCTTGTGGGTATTACCAACATGTGGTGTCTGCATTGGCTTGGCATTCATAAAAAAATCAGTACAACCGGACTAGAAATGTTGAGGCTCCCTTAGTTTAACAAAATATAGGTCAAATTGTTTAAAATGAGTCAGCGCTTTAAATGGGTTCCCCCCCGTGCTATCATGACTGCAGTTAAGAATGCACTCTTATTTGAGAAGAGGTTCAATGTTTAGAAATGATTACCAAATGCGGTTTATCGTGAACTGTTGGAAAATACAACTAACCCACTTCAAGATCTTGAAAAGTTGTAAAAATGTGCACTCTTTTTTACTCATGCAAATTTGTAAATGCCAGACAACACAAATTTGTATTCTACATTTAGAGTTGCAAAAATGTAAGCGGGTTACATAAATGGCAGTGTTCATTTTAAAATCTGTCAAAGTGGCTTTGCATCTATGAACAGACTTCAATTTTAACAACATTGTTACTTTATTGCCTCTATTGTTATTGTTGGAGAAAACGTATGCAGTTATTCATAACACAGATGAAAGTTTATTTTACAAAGTACTTGATATTAATTCACCAGCCTCGTTGACATTGAAGTGAGCTGAATGTTAACAAAAGTTCCCTTACAAAGTCGATGCCAAAGCAAATTACGTAACAACAATTAAAATGATGAAAATGTGATTAGGTTTAATGTGCGGGTCCGTAGCTTGTTGCTTATTTTCACAATGATTGGGTGTTGCACCCTGCCTTTATGGAATTAGCACAGTTCAGTTAATAGCATTGTTCAACTTTAAGCACGGACTCTATGCAATGATTTAACTTGGGATTGATGCACTGAAAAAAAACTATTTGCCATCTATATAAGAACACTCTGGTGTCAAAGTAATCACATCTTGGGCAGTGCCGTTACAATGTTGCTCACGGAGCTGATGCCCTCTGATTATCCTGACCCAGTGTACATTCCTGTTCTGGGAATCTGTACCTGTAATTCCATTTCACCGATGAAAGTTTCTTCTTCAATCAAGGTATTGCTACGAGTAGTTGAATGTTCACACGTGTGACTGGGCCAACACCGATATGACCATGGCTTCGAGATCTCCAATCCCATCCACATTTATTTGGGATTCTGTCCAGACAGCAATGACTAAATAAATCAATTTTAAAAAGTAATTGCACGGGGTATATAAAAAAAAATGGTGCAATTTTCTTCAATCTCCCCCCCCACCTCTGCCCACCGGCAGTGCACCACAGTGAGACTCTGGGCGGGTCATGGCTGGTGGACTCAAGGCTGGGTGGGTACTCCCACCTCTTCCAAGGTGTGTGTCCAATATGGAAAAGGAGGCCAAACTATCTTCGAGTGGTAGCCCTTCTGCCCGCAGGTGTAAACAAGTTTTTGTTCTTTTACCTTTTGGAGTAATCGCAGCTTACCCAGAGTCTGATATTTGGTTAAAGCCTTGCCAAGAGAAGAGAGATGTCTTGAGTACCTCATTATTTAAGACACACTTCATGAATAAACTGATAAGAGATAAATACTGAACATTATTTACGAAAATGTACAGGAATGCCTCACTGAGGCTCCAGACTGGTGTTGATTTGTGTTTGGTCAATTCATTTGCAAGGCGTTTCTAGGTGCAAGGACATTTTTTCCCCCTAAATCTAAAACTTGACCTGGTGCAGTGGGGGAGGGAAAGGTGGTTGCTTTTGCCATTCAACTCGGTGAACAAGCACACAACACCAGGGTCTGTCCTGCAACCTGCCAGCGAGCCTTCAAAACGTCATGTGGCCTCAAAATGCACCTAACCTGGCACAAGCACCATGAAGACATCAGGTGGCGAATGGCGGTTGTTGCTGTGCATTTGTTTGTATGCGATGGAGTTGCACTTAGCGCAATGCGCTCGTCTCAGTTACCTGGGTTAGATTCCCAACCAGGGAGAGTTGTGTTTTAGTACACGTCCTTGACAACCCTTCGGTGGACCCTACTTGAACGAGAGTACCTGGTGCAGGGTGTATGACACTCGTTACTACCGAAGACAGATGGCTGGGCGTCATGTTGGCCACACCACGTTACGTGCCATGCTAGCCTTAATAGGTGCTCGTTACCAGCATTCATTCTAACAACCCATGAAGTTAAACAGGGGATCTTTGTTCGTGTGTTCTTTGCGGTTGTGTGTGCGTGTGTGGCAGCATACATTTAAGTGCAAACAATCGTGGATTTACATGCCAGACTTTGTAAGAAAGGGGTTGTTATGCTAATATGTTCCCATTTAGTGCGGGAGAAGACCCTAAGATGTGAATACTTTTGCGTGCTTTCTCGGAGACCACACGTTTGCGAATTTTGATTCATGTGTGACATTGTCCGTACAACTGCAAGTGAGTTTCAACTGTGTGTGTGTATCTAGACTCGTATTTTGTTACTGGCCTTGAAAACACTTAGTCAATAAAAACAAGGTTTTTGTTTTCAACTAGTGTGAACTTATTGCGTACATGCTGCTCAGAGACAAACACGTACATGGATTGTATATCTGGATACATGCTATGCAATTCAGGGGCTGCAATCCATTCATTTTTTCCGTTTTTAAATGTCTAATTTTACAGCTTTGTTCGTCATATTAAACAGCGCAATGTGCATGAAAAACACCAATTCCTACCACTGTAAATTGAGAGCATTGAGAGTTATAACAAATCAATTATAATCCATACGTCGGGGGTTCGATCTCCCGGCACGGCAGCTAAAAGCAATCAAGAGGGCACGTTCCTTATTGGCCCACCCCCCGCCCTGCCTCTGTGCTTGTTGTTGGGTCTGTGTCCCGGTGACGAACTCGCACACAAAACACTTTGCTGTGAAAGAGCCAACGCAGGCCATCCCTGGGGTTTTTAATCATCCACGGAGCGCATGGTCTCCAGCCCCTAAACCGTATCCACTGCACAAACCATGGCCGTCGATACGGATACCCGATGCACGAATGGACAATTCAAAACGTCTCCAGCAGTGCGCGACCGCGGTGATCCAGAACAGACCGGAACGACAAATACGAAGGAGGAGACATCGCACACGATGATGCTGCTCCTGACGCGGTTGTCTGGGCCTCTCCACCTGAATGTGACATTGTAAGCGGTTGCTCTGCATCTACGGTCTACACCATCAGTCGTGCGACGAGAAGACGGCGAACCCCCGGGGGGAGGGTTGTGTCGAGCCACCGAGATGCTGCAATTTAAATTGATGTCCACGAGGAGGCGCCACGGCTCCGAGATTCCGACCTCTGCGCTCGGGCTGAACGATTTGGAGAAATACTCTTTGGTTCTATTCGGTAAAGTCACGTAAAAAAACAATAAAAAATTAACGACGTTTCGGCCACAACACAAGTGGCCTTCATCAGGTGAAGGGAGCAGATTGTCTAGAGGACAGCGCTGTCCTGATGAAGGCCACTTGTGTTGTGGCCGAAACGTCGTGAATTTTTTTTATTTTTTGTTTTTTTACGTGACTTTACCGAATAGAACCAAAGAGTATGGATCCTTGCAGTCACGAAAGCTTTAAATCTAGATTTGGAGAAAATATATAACTGCGATTTTTTTTTACAGATATGCGATAGC